GGGTTTTAGCTCATGTCATGAAAATGCAACTGTGCAGTGTGTGAGGAAAAGCGAAAAAACACAATAAAAACACTCAAAATTTCTTAAATTCACACAATTAATCTGAAATCATTAGCAAACAAATTAGTACAACTATTTAATTGTTAATCGAATTAAGTTAAAAGAAAATCAAAATACAAACTAAACTTATTAAAAACCAAACAAGGGACCAAAAATCAAATTAAAACGAATTTGTAATTTTCAATTGCAAAGACAATTAATTAATCGACCATCGGCTTAACTCTCTAAAAAAGGTCCCTAGTGGAGTCGCCAAGCTGTCGAAACGATTTTTTCTTAAAGGTGAGAAAAAAAATGAGATTTTGAAAACCACATTAATTCTTAATTGTCTCTTTTTATTTTAAAAACATATGCGATTTAAAAGACCTCTCGTTTCGAAAAAATTTGAATTTCCTTTACGATAGAAAAATACGGTTCGAAGAGTCGCCACCAATATTTGATTAGGGTGTGATTGGGCACCCAAAAATGCTTTGTCATTTTAAATAAAAATTAATTTTAATTAAAACAACAAATTGAGGTATGCGTTACCAAAATCCGAGTTCGGGAGTCGGTTACGTGTGGGGAATGATTAGCACCCCCACAACGCCCTAAATCGGTACCTAGTCGATTAATTAACGTCTTTGCAATGAACTTTACAAATTCGAATTTATTTTGATTTTTGATCCCATAAAATAAAAATGTAAATTTAAAACATTCAAAAACACTCAAACAAATTAAATTAAAATTACCAAGTCATTTTAGAAAGATAAAGAATGTTCGATTATTTACAAATATCAAGACCAAATCTTAAAGATATAACAACATTTTCTCGATATATTTAAATAAACAAACATTTATTTTTCTCTCGTTCCCAAATTTTAGGTGACGAATCAATTTTTTTGTTTCACTTTCGGGATACACTTTTATTTTAAAATCATTAAAAGCGAACCTCAAATCAGTTATGACTGCCCACTTCAACAATTTTAAATTAAAAATATATTACCCTTAATCCAATTATGAATATGTCGAGTTATGCAAGTGAGGCTATCATGCATATTATGCAAAATAATGTAATGTAAAAATTAATTAAACAAAAATTAATATATATATATATATATAATGATATCTAATTAATGAACAACATATGTGTACATGTATTCATATCATCATCATTCAACCATATTAAGCATACATTCGAAACAAACCCTAAATAACTATACATACATACACATAAAAAACTTAAATATGGATTAAAACGTAATGAACATTAATTTAAGATTAAAACATAAATGAGGTAAATAGCATGTTATTGTAAAAAATGGTGAAAAACAAATGGTCCTAAAGATGTGTGACCAAATTAAAAGGGAACTGCAAATCTGAGGCTAAAGTAACAAACTGTACAAACATTGAGTCATGACACAAAAGAAATAATATTCCAAGCACCAAGATTGTAATTTGTCTATTAAAAGACAAAGGATTAAAATGTAACAAAATAACATTATGAGCCTTGTAAGTGAAAAAGGAAAAAAAAAGAACCATACACATACATAGGGTTAAAACACCAAGTTTCTGAAACTGCATGTTCAATGTGTAAATAAGTAAAAATTAAAATTAACCAAATCTAGGACTATAATGGAACACGCATCAACTTAAGAGCTATAAACAACAAATTCAGAAATCAATTTAGGGACCATAATACGAGCTTTTGAAACCTAAAGGATCATTCGATGAATTCCTTAACTTATGAAGCGCCGCCGTTTTGAACATACAATATATTTAATTTAAGGAAAAAATAAACCCTAATTTCCTTTGCATTAAGCCAACTCTCTCCCCCTCAGCCGTTTCTCTTCCATTCTCCCTACAATAGAGAGTTACGAAACTCTCTTCGCCTGCCACCCTGTTCGACGACCACCATCACTTCAAAATCCAACAGAACAACACCGGCCACCCTCGGAAGTAGCTATCCTTACCCGAACCACCACAAACCCTCACCGAAAACGCCTAAAACCGAATCACTACAGGAACAAAACCTCACATTATTCACGCTTCTAACAAAAGTTCAACTAGAACCCAAACACAACACTCCCTCCACCGCTCAAAATGCCTTGAATCGGCCTTATCATTAAACTCCGATGAGAGGCCAGTGACCCCAACTCCACTGTTACTCTCCCGAACCTGCTCATTCCTTCAGCCGAACCCAAAACCGAGCCTCTACACTCAAAATAAGACCTCTATCTACATGAAAAACCTCCAAGATTGAATTAATACTAACCCCAAATTAACCTTAAACTCATAATCCCAAGCTCCTTCTCCGCCGACGAGATCATGTGAAAAGGTAAATCTAACAGCCTATTTCTACTTTACTTTTATTTGATTCAAAATATGTGATATTGCTTATTATTTAGAAAGGAAAAAAATAATAATAACCTGTTTATGGACTGCTTGGATTGCTTCTGTTGTTGGATTGCTAAAGAAAATGGTGTGTTGCTTGTTATAATGCTTCCTTCTAAAAAAGATGTCTTTACATTGTTTGATTTTTTATACAAGGGAAAAGAATATTGTTTACACTCTCTATTCAGTATTTGCTACTCTGTCGTATCAAGCAAAGTAATGAATGGAAAAAAATGGTCTCTGATTCTCCTCTCTTTTCCTTCTCCCTCCCTTTAATTTGTGATGGTTCCCCCACTCTGGTTAATCCCCGGTAGCCCCCCTAATGCTCTCATTTTCAGTGGTTAAATGTCCCACGTTTCTGGTAGTTAATTCCCCACTATTTGATTATTTCAACTGCTAAAAGCCAACGTCCATCTCTTTTTTCTACACACAGCTGCTGTCCATTGGTCTTGAGATGGGCCTCCAACAGTCTTGGGCTCATTTGGGCTCTCACTGATCCACACTGTAACTCGTACTGGATCTAGAACTCGAAAGGAGTCCCCGGACGAAACCGAGCATCTACACATATTAATAAACATCATAAGTTAAAATCATCCCAATTAGGGATGGCCATGGGTCATGTTTTTTATCCATCCGACTTGATAACAAGGGAACCTCCACTCGAGACCCGACCCAGCCAAAATAAAATTTCACCTGACCCGAATATATGAATTAGAAACTCGACCCGACCCAAAATAATAAAAAAATATTTTTTATTCAATAAAAACAGTGACTTAATTGGGAAAAAAATTATATAGAGGGGTATTATTGTAATTATTCTTAAATATATAAGGTAAAATAATATATTTTTTCAGGTCGGATATTTTTCACCCTAAACCCGAACTCCACCCGAATAGCACACTTTAAAAATCCCGATCCAACCCAAATATCACACTTAAAAAAGGCCAACCCGAATATCACACTTAAAAAATCCGACCGAACCCTGATTTTTTTTTTAAAAAACCCAACATGATCCCAAATTGTTTTTAAAAAAACCCGACCCGAACCCGACATGAATATTATACTTAAAAAACCCTGACCCGAACTCGAACCCAAAATTAAAAATAAAAAAATGCGACACAATCCCGATTTTTTTTTTAAAAAATTCGACCCGAATACTAAAAGATTGATGAGGGTAGTATGATCAAATTTCACATTCCATCCTCCAGAGGATTCCAATTCTATCATGTTATGGATGAAATTTACTTTCCATCACTTGATAGAATTGAATTCCAATTTCTCTTTGAAAACTTGAACAAAACATGAGAAAGTAGTGGAATTGGATTCCAATTTCCCCTAATTCTAAGGATTTCAACGAACCAAACGTCACCTTAGGTAATCTTACATTCCTACCAATTTGGACAAGAATACCCTTAAACTAATGAATTCTTTTTATAATGATCGTTTTAAATTTTTATTTTTTATACTTTACTCAAAATTATAAAAATAATAATAATATACAAAGAGTTTGATTTACTAAAATATTAATAATTTTGAGAATTTTAAATATTTTATATTTTTAATATTCAATATTTTACTATTTATAATTTTATGGGATGAAAAACTAGTATTATTGTAAAAATATAATTATTTAAAATAATATTTTACTACCATAATATTATTTTTTATATTATATTATATTTTATATAAATAAATATGATACTTATAAATATTATTTAAAAATATAAAATTAATATAATAATTATATTAATTATATATTAAATGTAATTTCTCCTCAAAAGTTAGATAGTATAACGATTAAAATATTTTTATGAATTTTTATTCAAATATTTATAAATTAATATTAACTTTTAACTTAAAAAATATCACAAGGATAATTTAGTAAAATATGTATCTAAGTAATCTTATATTCCTCCAACCAAATACTGTAATCTTACATTCTTTATAAGCATACCAAATAAGGTAATACAATATTCTCATAGTAATATTACATTCTAGTAATGTTACTTTCAAATATAATCTTAAATTTCGTAAACCAATCGTTCCTTTAAGGTTTGGTTAGGGCGTAACGACATGGGAGACGTGGACAGGATAGATTTGTAATTACGTGCCCGTTAACTTATTGGGAATAAGAAATAGAAACAAAATCAAATATTTGTAGTTAAAAAATGGAAGAAGGCTTGTAAGATTTGAAAATAAAAAAGCGGAAGTGGAGTCTCGGAACTCGCTTTCACCAAATCTCAAACGTATCTGCGTTTCCTGTAATTACTGGTGTGTTCCCGACCTCAACCCATAACTATTTTTCTCCTGTTATCTGTTATTAGGAATAATTAGTTGGTTATACTATTTCAAATCGATGCCTTTGAGCGTCTCTCTACTCTTCATTATTTTTTATTTTGTCTGATGGAATTGTTTTAAGTAATTGCTTATGTTTTCTTTTTCCTTTTATTTCGCCTTTGTTTTTTCTCTGTAAAATTGCAAGCACGTGGCAGCAAATTGGAACGATATGGCGGGTTCTTCTTCTTCTTGTTTTCAGGGTTTTTAGCTCATTGGGTGAAATTGGAGCTGCGGATATGACCCTTCTGAGTAGATTCTTTTATAGGAGACCCCCGGATGGATTGCTTGAATTTGTTGAAAGAGTATACGGTAGTTGCTCGAACTCTTTAACCTCAACTTGTTCAATTCTTAGCTTCTTTGTTTTTCCCTGATTATTGAATGAATTCAATCTAAATTATTGTAGTTTTTGATTCGTGCTTCTCCACTGAAGTCTTGCCGGACGGTATGTACCAAGTATACCTGCACGAAATCGTGACCGAGTTACATGAAGAATTTCCGGAGTCATCATTTCTGGCTTTCAATTTTCGCGAGGGTGAAAAACCAAGTAGTTTTGCCGAAATTTTATGTCAATTTGATGTTGCTGTATTGGATTATCCACGACAATATGAGGGTTGTCCCCTGCTTCCATTGTCTCTAATTCAGCATTTTCTTTGTGTTTGTGAAAGTTGGCTTTCAGTTGGGAATCACCAGAACGTTATTCTTCTACATTGTGAAAGAGGGGGGTGGCCACTTTTGGCATTTCTGTTAGCTAGTTTCTTAATTTTTAAAAAGCTGCACAGTGGAGAGCGTAAGACTCTTGAAATTGTTCATCGAGAGGCTCCCAAAGGTTTCTTGCAGCTCCTTTCACCTTTAAACCCCTACCCTTCTCAGCTTCGTTACCTTCAGTACATAGCACGAAGGAATATAACTCCTGAATGGCCTCCTCCTGAGCGTGCTCTTTCTTTGGATTGTATCATTCTTCGAGCCATTCCGAGCTTTGATGCCCAAAATGGATGCAGGCCAATTATTCGCATTTTTGGTAGGAATCTTCATAACCAAGACGGCTTATCAACGCAGATGCTTTTCTCCATGTCCAAGAAAAGGAAGGTGCTTCGACATTATCGTCAGGTAAAAGTCCCTTTTTCCACTACAATTTTTGTATTATTTATGTTTGTCCTGTTAACTTGTCAAAAATGAATTGCTTCTTGTTGCAGGTTGACTGTGATGTGATTAAAATCGATATCCAGTGTTTGGTGCAAGGCGATGTTGTATTGGAGTGTGTCCATTTGGATCTGGATCCTGAAAGGGAAGTTATGATGTTTCGCGTAATGTTCAACACTGCATTTATTCGATCCAACATATTGATGCTGAATTCTGAGAACTTGGATATTCTTTGGGATTCAAAGGAGCGGTTTCCAAAAGGCTTCCGAGTAGAGGTAAATATCTTTTTGACCATCTGTTAGGATTTTGGATACATCAATAGAAAGAAGAGCTAGGGACAGTACTCAGTAGTATTAAGCAGTTAGCTTTCTTAGCCACTAACCTCCTACCTTATTTTTACAAAACCTAAAGTGTTATTTAATTTTAGTCATGAGCTCATTAGTCTTTATCTTTTTCAACATTTGAATTTCTAATTCAGTAAACATCTAAATCCAGGTTTTGTTTGGGAAGGTTGAAAATTCCTCCCCTCCTAAGGCTCCTATAACAGTTTTAAATGGTGAGGAGAAAGGGGGATTACCTATTGAAGCTTTTTCTCGTGTTCAAGAACTCTTTAGTGGTGTTGAGTGGGTTGATAACAGTGATGATGCTGCCTTGTGGCTACTTAAACAACTTTCAGTCTTGAGTGATGTGAAGGAATTGTCCAGATTGCAGAATAAAGGAAATTTATACGCATCTCCTGCTGATTCTGAGGAGGAAAACAATGCATCTAGCACTGCTGATAGTTCGGATGAAGCATTTGATGTGATCAATAAGCCTTTGGTGGATCCAACAAGTTCTCTTCTGCCAGACATTGGTGATACAGTTCCCTTGCACTCAGAAAATGATAGTTTACAAGATTTAGATCATGCATCCGTTGAAACTGTTCAGGTAGTTTCAAGTTCAGGTATGCCGTCTCATTTATCTTCTCCAATGGAACCTTTGGGACCTCATGTACCCACACCTCCAGAACTACCTCTAATACCTAGTGAAAGCCTCTCTTTAGGATGTACACCTCATGCACCACCTCCACCACCACCACCACCTCCACTGCATCTACCTTCATCTGTTAATACCATTAGACCTAAGTCATCCCCACCGCCACCCCCACCCTTACCCCCTACTCTTCTTAGTTTGTCTAAAGGGAACTCTGCAATACCTTACCTGTCACTACTGAAAGAGGTCCTCCACCACCTCCGCCTCATAGTTTATCTGGTAGAGTGTTTTCAACATCACTTGAAGCTATAAACAATGGCCTACCTCCTCCTCCTCTCCCCTACCCCCTTTCAGCACTTCCGAAGAGCTGCTACCAACCCCACCCCCTCCTGCACTTTCCTCTCAATTGTTATCACCACCCATGCCGCCACCCTTGCCTCCACCCCTACCCCCATCCTTGCATCCACCTTCGTCGGGAAGCAAATCCAAAAAGCAAACATCTTACCAACCCCCCCAACCACCTCCTCCTCCTCCTCCAAGGGCAATATCTACTACTAGTTTCACTCACAGGGGACCTGCTCCGACACTGACACCGCCTCCACCACCACCACCTCCAATGGCAACCTCTACTGCTAGTTCCTCTCATAAGGGACCTACTCCGCCACCACCTCCAATGGCAACCTCTACTGCTAGTTCCTCTCACAGGGGACCTGCTCCACCGCCTCCACCACCACCACCTCCAATGGCAACCTCTACTGCTAGTTCCTCTCACAAGGGACCTACTCCGCCACCGCCACCAGCTCCAATGGCAACCTCTACTACTAATTCCTCTCACAAGGGACCTGCTCCACCTGTTCAAGGCCATAATACTAGTGTCCCTCGGCCGCCTCCGCCTCCGCCACTTGCAGGACCTGCAAGGTCAGGTTCTGTTCCTCCTCCACCCCCTGCACCTAAAGCTCCTATTGTGCCCCCTCCACCACCAAGCTCTGGCACACGGCTGCCAAGTGCAAAAGTGTCCAATGTGCCACCACCACCACCTCCATCTAGTGGTAGGGGAAAGTCTTTGGGACAGACAGGTCATGGAAGAGGCCGTGTACTTTTTGCGAGTAATACACCGAAGAAAAACTCGTTGAAGCCATTACATTGGGTCAAAGTCACTCGAGCAATGCAAGGGAGTTTATGGGCTGATTCTCAAAAACAGGATAATCAATCAAGGTGAGTGCATATATAATTGTATATTAGTGCCAATTTGCATCATAGTTTCTTATAACTGCCAAAAGGTTTTAGAAAGATATGGTAGATTGCACAACCCGGACTGGAGCGTGGATCAAACTTTTTATTAGTCGTTAGTTGCATTGTCTTACTGTTACGTCCTCACTTTCTATCTTGTTATGTTGTTGCAGTCTATAAGCAAAAAAATAATAATAATAATAAATAGAGAAAAGAAAAGAAAGGAAGAAAAAGAAAGGGAAGAATGAATTCTTTGTCAATCTGTTCTTTTCTGTTTCACCTTCTTTTATTTATCTTTAGTTTTACTTGGATTACTTTTCCCACTAATATGGGGATATGATTTCTTTTTAACCCTATAGATCAATTTCTTTTGCTGTAGGCCCCCTGAAATTGATATGTCCGAACTTGAAAGTTTATTCTCAGCAGCCTCTGTTTCAAATGGGAGTAGTACTAACAAACTTGGAGGCCGACGTGGTTCTAACATCAACAAACCTGAGAAAGTGCAATTAGTAAGATTTTTTTTCTTTCTTCAGACTCATTTAATAAAGAAACTATCGTCTTCCTGCTAAAATTTTGTACGACCTTTATGTACGAAATGAAGAATGCTTAATCAGGTATGTGTTAATTCTGGCTTAACATTTTTACAATATCCATTATAGTACGAAAACCACAGTTAGGTAATCCTAATTGGCATGATTAAAATACTAAAGAAAATGAATAAGGAATGTGATATGATGTTTCTTTCCCTGAATAATGAACAGAATCAAACTTTGTAATTGATCATGTTCTCCAGAAAGTTTTAAGTTTATAGCCCTTTCAGTAATTGCCTTGTCAATTATATACAGAAATATGTTTATGGAGTAAGAATTAAGAGAATTTCAGTGGCAGTCTTTTAATTTGTGGTTCCTCTAGTTAAATGACACAATCATGACAAATAGTCATTATGCTTTTGGCGTACAATACTCCCCTTTATCTTACTACATTTTTTTTATTAATTTTATGTCAGCAACATGAATGGCTTATTGGTCTAGTTCCATGACTGATATGAGTCATCTGGAGTAAAGTATCACTGTTGCATATTATTATTATTATTATTATTATTATTATTATTATACCTGTAGAATGCTCTGTTCTGTTAAAAAATCAGACAGAAGGCCCTTTTGTTGCAAATTACATATTTAATATTTTACAACCTTAATTGTTCTGAACACCCTTTTTTTATAGACAGCTACTCTTCTATGATGAGTATTTAAGTTTGTAAAGATCCTTTGTTGCTAGTGAGGCATCATTTTATCCTTTATTAACTTTGAACTTGACCATCTATTGCAGATTCACCAGGTGATGCATATAGTAATCTAATTCCTGCTTTCATCATATAATTTCTTTTATATGCATTTTAAGAACATTAAATTTCTGTTCCCCTAATTTGTGTATGTGGCTCTTGTATTATCTTTCTCAGATTGATTTGCGCAGAGCATATAATTGTGAAATAATGCTTACAAAAATAAAAATCCCTCTGCCTGATATGATTGTAAGTTTATCTTTCCTTAGCCTGCTAAATGTTATGTGCTGAATAGTTATTTTTTTCTTGGGTTTTATTTTAGTTTTTAATTGAAATGGTGTTGGAATATTAGAGATTTATCCCCCCTGCCCCCCTCCCTTCAAAATTTTCTTTGATGTTATTTTATTTCTAGTATATCATATCTGATGTCTTTTATTTGTTTCTTTTTTCATATCAGCTTTGGAAACTTTGTTGACTTCCTATAGCTGTTAAAAAAGATTGTATACCAATATTATATTGAACTCATTATGTAACGCGGATAGATTTGAAAGTTTTCTTATGGAATGCTTTCATAATTGAGGGTAAGGTTTGATTTTGTTTGTATTAGTTGGACCTTCTGGCTATTTCTGTAGGAGGAGTGACTGACAGTCGACTTTACCAGATCTGGCATATATCATAAATAAACTATTTGTTATTTTCTGTGGCTCTCCTCATCTTGCTTTATAGTTTTTCATTTCCATTTTAACCACAACCAAACTTTGATACTGGATTTTCTTTTCTTCCCTATAACTATTGTTTCCTTCTGTAGGTTCTTTCTATTGCTTTGCCAAGTTGGGTTAAATTTTTGTTATGACATGATTTTCTCAACTTTCTGTTTTGCTTTAACTTAAAGTTGGTCGCCCTAAACATAGTGCCCTTTATTTTCAGTCTGCCATACTAGCATTGGATTCTTCGGTTCTTGATATTGATCAGGTGGAGAATCTGATTAAATTTTGTCCCACTAAAGAAGAAATGGAACTGCTAAAGGTAATTTATATATGCTGTAACATTTGATTGTATGTGTTTCCAAATGCTACGTTTTCCGGTCTTTTTACGATGCCCTTTAAATGAAACTGTATTTTTAAAAGACTTCATTAGTCATTCCATATTATCTTGTCACCTAGGAAATAATGTGTTGTCTTTTATACAATAAAAAGTATTTGACCTGGGAATTCACTTATCAACATGGCACAGTTGTATTGCCCCGATTCTCTGAAGGGTTAAAAGGAGGTAGACCTCTTTATGGAAGATTTAAAGCTGCCTTTTGCATTTTTTTATGTCCAAAGTTCTGACTGAACCTGAACATTTCCAGTATTATTATTAGTTATGAGTAAGACTGCGTTCCGGACTAATTTGCAAGCTTGGTAAGGATTTTTTTTGATAAGAATTTCAGGCCTCGTTAAAAACCTCCTTCTTGATTAATGGAGTTTATATGAACTCCTTAATCAGTGGAAGGAGGAAAAGAGTGCCTTAGGATTTTATTGAACCATAAAATTACATAAGATACAACCATCATAGACCCCACCAACCAAATAAACTTGAAACAACCATAAAACACCCAAAATATAAGAATAGAATAGGATCAGCCAATTCCTTCTTTAGCTAAGGCATCAACCTCTATATTGGCTGACTTATTAACCCATCTGACAACACCTTCTAAAACATTAAGCCTATGAACAATATCTTTAATCAAAAACGCATAAACATCAGGAACTAGATCTTCTTTCTTAATCCAGTCTACCACAACTTTGCTGTCGCTTTCAATAATCAGACGACCCTTCCTCTCTCGTAAATTCGCATAGAACATTAGACCCTTTTGAATAGCTTTTAATTCCATAAAAGTTGGAGGGCCCGGACCAGCAGTTTCCTTGAAAGAACTTAAAGTCAAACCCGAGGAGTCCTTTAGAACACCTCCTATCCCACTCTTCTTCCAATCTCTTGTAGTAGCCGCATCAACATTTAACTTTACAAAACCTTGAGGAGGAGGAGACCAAGGAAATATAGATACAATCCGATTATGATAAAGAGAGCATAAATCCCCTAATGAAGGGTCTGAAATAAGAGAATCCTTAGGAATAGACACCTCTTTGTACTTAGCAAGGAACCAAGAAGCTAGTCTAAACCTTGCTAGGAAAAAATATTCAGCCAAATACAGCTTTCCCCCTTCAAACACAATGAGATTCCTAACTTTCCAAGTAGTCCAAATAACTGCCCCAGGAATAAAAGACCAAATTGTAGAGGAAGACTTCAAATCAGCCCAAGCAAGTAGGAATTTTTTCGCATTAACATGCAAAACAGACTTAATCTTCCAGAAATTCAGAAATTTGTTCCAAATCATCCACACCACCGAACACGTGAAAAACAAGTGCGATGGAGACTCCACCTCCCTCTTACAAAGAGGGCACATAATGTCTACAATTCCTTGTATTCCCCTTTTAACAAGTTCTGACCTAACAACCAGCTTCCCTAACACCACCTGCCACATAAAGGACTCCACTCTAGGTGGAATCTGGCCCCTCCAAATAATCTTCTTCCAGAAATAAACCTCTTTCGAATCCGAAATAATGGCTGAACAAATCTTAGTGCCAGATTTAACAGTATATACCCCATCTCCAGTACCTTTCCAAATCACCCCATCACATAACTCCGTAGATAGAGAAACAGAGGAGATAGCATTCATCAAGTTAACCCACTGTTCTACTTCCCAGTCGTTTAAATTTCTTCTAAACTGCACATCCCAACTCCAACCAGATGAGCTGTAATTCCGAAATTCAACCAGTTTACCCATTCTGTTTGTGGAAATGGAGAACAATCGAGGGAAAATAATTAGAAGAGGAAAGTCCAACGCCTAATTATCCTGCCAGAACCTAATCAATCTGCCATCCCCAACTCGGAAAGAATACAAACTTCTAAACTTAGAGCCAATACTGTCTTCTTTAAAGTGATTCAAAACCACCGATCTCCAAATCCAAGATACTCTTTGTGGGACTTTGTTGTCAAACATTAACCAAGATGGATCCATATTGTATTTAGAACAAATGAATTCCCTCCAAACAAACCCCCTTTCATTAGCATACCTCCAACACCATTTTGCTAGAAGAGCTCTATTCAAGAAAACAAGGTTTCTAACGCCTAAACCCCCCTCGAATTTTGACTTGCACACATTCGGCCAGTTAACCCAATGTATCTTATTTTTACCTACTCCCCCACCCCATAAGAATTTCGCCATAATGGAGTTGAGAGATTTAAGAACCGCAACTGGTATCTTAAATAAAGATAAATAATACGTCGGGAGCGAACATAGAACCAACTTTATTAAAACCAACCTTCCTGCTAATGACAGAGAAGCAGCCTTCCACCCCGTTAATTTATTCATAAAATTATTCATCACCGGATTCCAAAGTGCTGTAGAGTTCCTAGTAACACCCAAAGGCAGTCCTAAATATTCAGAGGGAAAACTACCCACAGAACATCCGATAGAATTAGCCCACTGCTGAACTTCTTCCTCGTTCATATTCACACCAAACAGTTTACTTTTCTTCAAGTTGAGTTGTAAACCAGAAATCACTTGAAACACTCTAAGCACCCTCTTCACATTTAAAATCTGCGTCTTAGATGCACCACAAAACATAATGAGATCATCCGCGAACTGTAGATGAGATAATTTGAAAGCATCAGCATCCCTTCCTAAAGCCAGTCCAGAAAACAGACCCTGTTCCACAGCCTTCACAATTAGTAGATTGAGAAGTTCTCCAATAAAATTAAACAACAAAGGTTATAGAGAGCACCCCTGTCTAAGACCTTTAGCCATTGCAAATTCCTCAGTAGGAACTCCATTCACTAAAACAGAAACTGAAGCTGTGGTTACACACTTTCTGATCCAACCTCTCCACCTGGAACCAAATCCCATTTTCTCCATTACTAGAAACAAAATGTCCCACTCCACCGAATCATACGCTTTCTTGAAATCTACCTTGAAAACACAACCTTTAAGACCATTTTTCCTCCAATAATCCACCCCTTCATTCGCAATTAAAGAACAGTCCAATATTTGTCTCCCTTGGGTGAAGGCAAATTGAGTAGGACTAATTAAGTCTGAAATACAGCTCCTCAACCTCCTCGATAGGCACTTAGATAGGATCTTATATAATCCACCAACTAAGCTAATAGGCCTATAATCATCAAGGTCACCACTGTTAGAGACCTTAGGAATAAGAGTAATAAAGGTATGGTTGATGCCATGATCCCAATCTTTCCCCGAATAGAAGTTGAAGAAGAACTTCATAATTTCTCCTTTAAGTACATACCAATATCTCTTGAAAAAACCCAAATTAAAACCATCCGGCCCCGGGGCTTTGTTGCTATTGCAAGACTTTAAGGTCTCCCATATTTCCTCTTCAGTAAATTCTTTCTCCAAAATTAAACTCTGCTGAATCGAAATTCTGGAAAAATTCAACTCGATTTCTTTCACTTCTAAGGTCGATTTGTCATTAAAAGCCTTAAAGAAGTGTTCTTTGACAGTGGCTTTTATAACCTTTGGGTCTTGAATAACCTTACCCCTGCAAATAAGAGCATTCAACGCATTTCTTTTCCTCCTAACTGAAGCACATGTATGGAAGAATCTGGTATGTCGGTCCCTATCTTCTACCCATTTGGATCTAGAATTCTGGAACCAAATCTGCTCCTCTATCTTATGCAACTTCCATAATTCTGACCTTAACTCCTTTAACTCAGCAACTTTCTCATCATAAGTACCATCTTGCTGATGTTGAACCTCCACTTCTAATTTTTGAATCTTCAATTCTATTTCTGAAATTAAAGCTCCAGGAAACTTTTCTCTCTTCCCTGCCCAATTTTTAATGGCAGTTTTGGTTTTTTTCAGAATTTTGAAAATTCCAACATTCATCTGTATCTCTTTACATTCTTGAATTGAAGAACTGATCACATCCTCAAAACCTGCTTCATCCATCATATAGTTAAACAGTTTAAACGACTTTTTCCCCCAATTAACACCTCCATTCTCAATTATTACTGCATTATGATCTGACAATGATCTTGGCAGCAAAGACTGTGTTAAATCTGGAAAAGCTGCCAAGAATTGGCTATCAACCAAAAATCTATCCAGCCTTACATAGGTTGGTGAATCTTGGTTATTACAACAAGTAAACCTACCTCCACTCAATGGAAAATCGATTAGACCTGTAGTAAGAAGAAAACAACTGAAAATCTCTAAAGAATTCCTGTTTTGGCCTCTACCAATCTTCTCATCTTCCTGTAGATACACATTAAGGTCCCCTCCAACACAAATAGGCTCAGAATGTCCTCTAATGAACGTGCTTAATTCTTCAAAAAAACTCTTTTTCCTCCTCAACCGAAAGACCATACACATTAATGAATCTGCAACTGAAATTATTTGCCCGAAATCTCCCCGATATAGCAATGAATCTTCTGGATGTACACTGATTTTGCAACTCAAATACGTTATCATCCCAGAACAACAGTAAACCCCCTGACGAACCAACCGATGGTGACTCAATAACCCCTTTCAAATTATTTAACCCACTCCTCCTCAAAAAGACCTTTGAATTTTCTCCAATTTCGTTTCCTGCAACCAAAGAAATTGAGGACAATATTTGGAAACTAGCCTCTGAACATCCCTTTTTTTCTCTAATCTACCCAATCCTCTAACATTCCATGTTATTATAGATATCTTTAACATCATCATAAAGAAATCAACCAACTAGTCCCCCCGCAAAATCCCCCTGCTTGTCCATCCTCAAGCCTTTTTCCAGACTAATAATCTTATCCAAAAAGGCTTGTTGTCCTTGTTTAAAGGAAATACCCAACATCTTACTTATCTCCCAAGTAACTAAAGCTTCATCCAATAAATCTGAAAAACCTGAAGAGGAAGCTGTTGAAATGCTCACTCTTTCTAAAGCTTCCCTTAACAAATGTCTTCTAGCTCTTCTGATAAAAAAACCCGATTCAAAGCAGTGACTATCACCCATTAACTGCAATCCTTCAACCACCCTTTCCACACTCATATCCCCTGAATTCGATCCATCATTCACATCCTCACAACCCTGAAACTCTGCATCCACTAACAAGCTATCCAGTTGATTTCCTCTGGAATTCATATTTTTCCAGTCCCTGACGATTAAGGTACTATCTTTCTCAGGCTTAAAATTCAAGATACTTCCCATCCAGTATTTTCTGCCCCTACACCTTTTGTAAACCCTTTTGTAACTTCTGCTTTTCCTTTTCTCTAACGGTACACTTTTGGTGCTTAACGAACTGTCAGACTTATAACACAGTCTACCCTTAACTTTGCTTCCTGAATTATCAATGGTAGGCTCTATCACCCTTAACTCGGAATCCTTGGCTCGAAAACCATCCTGCTCAATTATCTCTGAATCTGACCTCCTCCCCACATCTTCTCTGCTGTAACAACTTGACTTAGCCAAATCCTGATCTTGAACCATTTTCCCAAATTTATCAATTTTAATTTTTGGCGTAGCAGGAATAATCCTCATTACGTTAGGCCCAGCAAACTCATCTTCTTCTGATTGGGCTTCCGACCCAGCAGCCGTCATTTTTGAATCTCTCAATCCCAAACCTGCAAACTCACCCACTTTGACACTCCCTCCATACTGCACAACTGACTTTCCATTAATGTCTGATCTATTTTTTGAAATTCTTGGAAACCGATTATCTCCACCAACTCCACCAAGCCTGATAGCTGCGCCCTGTTCCATCCAACTGTCCACTCTCTGACAGTTTTCTTCTTCTGATCTAGCAAAACCTTCCTCATATTCTGACCGTATCCTGTCTTCTTCGTTCTCAGACATGAACGCTCCCAACTGTCCCTCATCGGAACTGACCACCGGAGGATTTGTGGAAAAGAAAATAGACTCATCATTCGCCGATCCAATCTTCATTGTTACTTTAAAGGATCTTCCATATGATCCAATAGTAATCTGATCTGGAACATCAAAAGGACTAGCCACCCTAATTAGCAATCTTACCTTTGTAAGATCTTCCCTGTGTTTCGTGTCATCAAGAATATCTATAACCCTTCCCCATCTCCCTGCTAACCTTTCAAGGAAAGATTCATTCCAGCATAAAAGAGGTAACCCAAAAAACTCCACCAAGCAAAAAGCCAAAGGAACACCATCTTCGTTCAGTAATGGCTCTAAACGATCAAACCAAAATTGAAGATCTTCTTTCTTCTTCATCCAAGCATCTGACATTTCTTCAACTGACTTAAAGATTATTACACAAGAGTTCCAGACATACCCCCATCTAACAATCTGGACGTCATAGCCTTCATTAACTAAAGCATTATGAACTAACTCTAACTCAAATAAATTCTTGATAATCCCCGTCAATGATCTTTTAACCCAGCTCGAGCTCTCAGATGAAATGTGCATCTGCATGATGTTTTTCCTGACTTTTTCCCTGTTTTCAGCATCGACGACCATATCTTTGACCTCTAGAACACTCCTCGACCTCCTGTTCGACATCAATGCATCTTTGTACGATCTGTCATCCCTCAAACTTCTAAAACATCATCTGGCTCTTTTGGATTCAAAATATCAGCAGTGATCGGACAAGCATCCTTCTTTAAATCCTTATTATTACGCTCTACCCATGCTCGAGATTCATTGTATCTTGCGACTCCAACCGTGATCCTTCTCCCATATATGATCGATCCATTAAGATTTTCTACAGCCCTTCTCAAACCATCCTCATTTCCAAACTGCACAAAAGAAAAAGTGGAAAATCTGTATTTTGGGTTTCTAGTTTCCTTAGGGATATAGACTCTCTGAACTGGACCATGAACTAAAAACATTTCCCTTAATGCACGTCTTGACACTCTCTAAAAAGGAAAGATCACTCTTCCATTTAACTTATGTTCTGGTAGGAGTAAGGGGAAGAGAGGGCAAGGGATGTAATTCCTTTTTACAACTTCTATTAGATAGCCCTCATTTGAACACTTTATTTAACTTAAAGGGATGTAATTGTAAAAATGTTTTTTTTTTGCTACTTTTTTTGGGTAGAATTATACAGGTGACAAGGCAATGCTTGGGAAGTGTGAACAGGTCTGTTTCAGTATCCATCTTTAACTAATTCAGATCCCTTAACTTGATCAGCTGCTAATGCTATAATTGAAAAATCTTTCAGTTTTTCCTAGAGCTGATGAAGGTTCCCCGAGTAGAATCAAAATTACGAGTATTTGCATTTAGAATCACCTTTTCTTCTCAGGTATTGTCTGGATAATTTGTATATTCAATCTTGTATGCTGGAATTCATGATTAATCTATATGCATTCTCACCTGTTTCAGGTGGATGAATTAAGATCTAGCTTGAGCATCATTAATCATGCAACTGCAGAGGTACTGTTATGCTTAACTAAATCTCAAATGCGCGATGCATAACTGCTCATTTTGCATGCTAAATGTCGTATGTTTTTCTTCTTGCATCTAAAATCTCAGAGACTAATTTTCAGGTAAAAGAATCCGTGAAATTGCGTCAGATAATGCAGACGATTCTCACATTGGGAAATGCTTTGAATCAAGGCACTGCACGAGGTACCCAGCTGGTCCATTATTAGGAGTATGTACCATTTTTTTCAATAATGCCTCTTCATTATCATTATTTCACTTTTATTTGCAGGATCTGCTGTGGGATTCAAATTGGATAGTCTCCTTAAATTATCTGATACACGTGCAAGAAACAACAAGATGACTTTAATGCATTATCTATGCAAGGTATGAATGCTGAAAGTTAGACTTCTTAGTTCTATATATGCACTGAGAATTGGGAATAAGGTTTTTGTTCTGTTTATGGGGACAAGGCTAATGATGCTGTAATTTTGTGCCCTTCAAATAGTATTTTGGTGACTTAGGGAAATTTTTCTATTACTTTGGTACTGTGTATTTTATATTTACTAGTTCTTAATGCCACGTGTTTCACGTGATTTTTTGTTTATTTTCATGTAGGCTATAAATAATTTTTGGTGCACAACTCGTTTTTAAAAAGGAAATAGCAGTTTGTCTTGGTTATTTGTTTTTCCTCTGATTCAATTATGATGTAACCTTACTCTTAACAAATTTTACCTCCTTGCCCAACATGATTTTTTCATTTTAAATCATCTGCAATGTGCTAATGTCCCTTCTGGCATGTTTCAGTTAGGTCCTAAATTGTGTCTCTCTTTTTTCTTTTCCTACTGTTTTTTTTTGCATGTGTTAGCTTCTATCAGAGAAAATGCCAGAGTTGCTGGATTTTGACAAAGATCTTGTTCATTTAGAAGCTGCTTCTAAGGTACACTTTTTACAGTTTTGGTTTATTGGATCCTTTTCTTCTTAAAATTAATTTTTTTTAATCCGCTTGGCTTTCATACATCTGGCTAGATTCAATTGAAAAATCTTGCTGAAGAAATGCAAGCTGTGAGTAAGGGTCTTGAAAAGGTTGAGCAAGAACTCACTGCTTCAGATAATGATGGTGATATCTCTTTGGGCTTTCAGAAGGTAAGGAAAGATTATTGCTTAACAAAGAATCTAATCCATTAACTTCGCTACAAATTTATCTACTTTACTTTTGCCTGCTAATGTGTTGAGTTCTCTTTCCTCGTTGACTTTTTCCTGTTATTATAGTTGTTAGGATTTTGCTTGATGTTGATTAGCAAGGAAACAAAGAATCAATTAACTACCTTTTTTTCTTCTTTTTAACACACAAGTGCACCTTTTGAGGAAAAAATGTTTGCAGATGTATCTTGCAGTGAGCTTATTTGACTCTTAGATGATTAATATCTTTTATGATATATATTATAGCTTATAAGCATGAAGACTAGTAAAACTTTTGATTGACAAAAACAAATATCTGTGTTTATCATATTTCTAAAATTTCTATTTAAAATATATTATTTTATTATATGTGTTAAAAGTATTTATAGATTAGAATTTTATTTTCAGCAAAAACTTTCTTGAAATTAAATAAATAAAAAAGACCAAGGTTTATACTAAATTTATTTTTCTTCACAGTTCTTATTTTACCTTATGCAATTAGTGTTAAATGGAAGTGTCCTTGGTTCTAGGTGTTGAAGAATTTCCTTGATACGGCTGAAGCTGAAGTAAGGTCACTTATCTCCTTATATTCTGAAGTGGTAAGTGGTGCTTTCCCGGTTTTGTAGCTCCTCATAGGATAGTTTAAACCTGTCATGCATTGCAGTTTAGTCGAAGTTATGTTGTCTTGCAGGGAAGAAATGCTGATTCATTATCCCAGTACTTTGGAGAGGATCCGGCACGATGTCCTTTTGAACAAGGTTTTCCACATTCTTTGACGATTATGTTTCATATCAGAAACCTTTGATACGATCTTTTTGTAATGTTTCCTTTCGAACAAATGCTGACTGCTCGAGTTTATTGTTTGTTACTGCAGTGACTCAGATATTGGTCGTTTTTGTTAAGATGTTCAAGAAATCACGGGAGGAGAACGAGAAGCTAGCTGATGCCGAGAAAAAGAAACTGGAAAAGGAAGCCATGAAAGAGCGAGCAGCTGTAAAGAAGGATGGGGCCGATACGGATGAGCCAAATCTTACTTCTCAAATCCTGAAACACACACTGCGATCATAAAGATGCTTTTATAGTTGAAGACTTCGAATACCACATTTCAGTAAATAATCTTATGGAGATTTGGTGGGTAAAGACGGGAATGGGTCGGGTTGAGACGGGAATGGGTCAGGTCGGGTCGGGTCGGGACGGGTCGAGCTTGAATAATAAGAATTTTATTTGTCCAAGCTTGGCCAGCCGATATCTTGTTTTACACTTGAAAGATATATTAAATTCAAAGGGTGAGTTTGTGCAAATGTTTTTGCATAAAAAACCCTTAAGTTGTAAAAGATTTAATTTCAGAGCTTGGTCAATTTCTCTTCAACCCAAACCTCTCATATGGGCCATTTTGCTTTCACCCTGAAAATTGTAATTCACGTATTATGAGAGTACGTTTTTGCATATCATTTCAGAAATATCAACGTCAAGGGAGTTTTATTTAATAAAAAAACTATAAAAATTAAATATTATATTTGCTTTATAAAATCTATTTAATTCATCATTAAGAATTATTAGGGACTGTTTGATAAACATATATTTAGAAGATAATATAATATTTAAAGAAATAAAACAAATTAGAACCTACAAGTCATTTTTCACCCTTACAGAGAAAATTATGTTCATCTTGATCACACCACAGTTTTTTTTTTTAATAATTTGGGGCTTTTATAATAGTTTAGGATGATTATACATAAGACATGTTCACATAGCCACACATTTAGAAATTTTTAAAAGTTTAATTCATATTTTTCAAGAGGATTTAAATGAATGGATGTCAAATTCCTGTAAATTTGTAGATTCAGATTTCTCTTTAGTTATATGTTCTCCGGTTGCAATGGCTTCTAATAGAAGTGATTAAGGTTTCTCTAAAGTTAATTGGTTATGTGTTGTACAACAAAATTCATTTACTGGAAAACCAAAAGGTGATCCTACAACTCCATTTAACATTCCCAGTAGAATAAAACTCAATTCCTTATATTTACATTTCGGGAGAATGCGTTGGGGGTTGCAGAAATAATAAAAACTCTAGATAAAAAAAGGCTTACTCTTAAGAGTACAAGACAGAGCACCAGAAACAAATGTCACAAAGAAACAATTGTAATTCATCCAAAACATAGCGATAAATTTAACAGAAAATAAAACACTATTTAGCAGCTTGGCCTTCTGCTGCTGCAGCTTCAAAGGTCTCGCCAGGTACAAGATCTGGTACCTCCTCATCATCCTCTTCCTGAGTGGTGGTCGCACCAGTACCACTACTGGCGGCAGGTGCCTGCTTCTGGAATTGCTCCGCCAACTTCCTCAAGTTGTCCAAGTTATCTGGCCCTACAAGTTTTAAAATATGGGTCAACACCTGAATGTTTTACGATCATTAAAAAAACAGAACTGCCACAGTTTAGTGTACATACCCAACTGGTTGATGATTCCAGGGAGAATATCCTGCAATTCTGGAATAGGGGAAGAACACAAGTCAGACCAACAAAGCTAGAGAGCAACAGAAAAAGGGCAAAGTGGATGACACGACCCTCCAATTCTTAATTCATTGAACGTTAAAAATACCAAATCTTAAAAGGGTAAATAGCAATAAGATTTAATCAACTACTGGAGGCTTAGAAGTTAGGGAAAGCATACTCTTTGTCTGGGGGGAACCGCTAACAACCCAGGTGTTGGCAGCAATAGAAGCTTGAACTGCAATATAGACCATCATGTATTAGTTTGTCATGCAAAACCTCAGAAAATCACACAGTTCGCTTCAACAAAGCTATATTATACCTTTCGGATTAATAAACTGGATAACAACATCATCCTTGAAGATGTTGACTTCCTCGATAGCAGAAATAGCATTCACTCCTATTCTCTTGAGGGTGCTCTGTAACCGTTTGTCGTCAGTGGTGGTAGTCTTGTGGACAGCCTTCTTCTTCCTATAAACATAAGTCAGAATAACAAGACAACAATTAAAAAGATAACCATATAGAGACATCCAATTCATGGACCTATCACATGGCCTACAATGCAGATGAATTGAAGTTTAAAGTTATTAATGAGTAAAAAAGGATCAGAACATTCTGCTTGACATGATATGCTAATCATAATGACATTCTGCTTGAAATGATCAATAATCATATATTGTTCTGCAGACAAAAACCTGATTCAAGAGCCTCTCCTAAACAACTGAGCAACAGTTGCATCCTATTTTTGGAGATGACGAAAACTTAATACAGATAATTCAAATCACTGTCATACCTTCTCATGCTACCCTTCCCACCGGTGCGGACTGCACCAGCCATTTTCATGAGCCTCTCCTTATTCATCTGCTCAGGGGGTATTATAAACAGCAAGTCAATGAAAAGTACAACAGATAGAGTCGAGATACACACAATAAAATAAGAGAAACTTGAGGTAACATGCTTAGGAAAATTATTAAAACAAATAAATAAACACGCCACATATGAAAAAACCATGTACTACACAATATGCAAGCAAATCATCAAATCCGGAGAAACACAAAGGAAATGAAATAGCTCACGCTTTAAAAAAACACCCAAAACCACAAAAACAATTCAGTCGCTATCTTATCTTTTCTCCAGTTCAAGAGGAAAAATAAAAAACAGAAAATACAATTTTGAAAAGAAATAAAAAAAAAGATGAGAACTTTAGGACAATATACAAAAATATCAGGTACCCTAATTTACTAACTGCAATTGTATTTTGGCGTTAAAGCATAAGCTAAGCTGAAAATCTAGAAAAACAAGAAGAAAAACTTAAGCAGCAGAAACGAATATCAACCAGAATGTTTTTCACACAATAATTTACCCAAAATATAAGAATAAAAAGGGTCATCAAAAACCCAGATCAAAACAATCTAAAGAGAGGGATAAAAAGAAGAAATCAGGCATTGATTGAAAATTAAAACGATGATAATGGAATAAAGTAACGACCGCTTTCACAAAACGTAGAAGCCAAATGATTAAAGAAACATAGAATTAAGAGATTGAAACCTTTACAGTGTGGGAAATATAATTTATATGTCGCGACTCAGACTGCAACTACAGCTGAAAAAAATAGGGTTTTTTTATGACCCGGTGAGCACGCTGAAGCTCCTACCTTCCAAGCTCCAGCCTTTTATGCTTTGGATCAATGACTGTGGTATTTTCATGTTTGGTTACTCGGTAATTTTATTTGTGGTAATGTTTTATTATTAATAGTAAATTTTTTTTGGGTATATTACTGGGAATGTCATTACCTCTCTTTCCTTAGGTATTGTAATATTATCGGTGTTTTGGACTAAAATACCTTTAATTTTTTTTTTCAAAAATATCCTTCTTCTGTCATTAAATAATAAAAATTCTACGAATGTTAAATTACAAATTTATCCTTAAATTATTTTAAATTTACAAAAAAAATCTATAATTAAAATTTTATATAAGTTCAGAGGTTAAATTTTTTTTTACCCTTTCATTAAACCTTTTTTATATTTTTAATTTTATAAAAAAATTATATAAATATTATGAATTTAATTTTTTAAAGAAAATATATAAATATTTTACAATTTGTAATATTATACAAATATATAATAAGGACAATTTGGTCAAATATACATTCTAATAATCTTTTATTCCTTTAACCAAACACGGTAATCTTACATTCCTGCTAAACCAACCAAACACAAAATACAACATTCCCAGTAATCATATTCACTGGTAATCTTATATTCCCACTAATAATCTTACATTCCGTGAACCAAACGCACCCTTAAAGTTTTTATCTCCACCCTCATATTTTTAGTATTTTCATGTGACAGTTAAATATCTATCGGGTCCATGTTTGTCTTTGCAGCAACGGACAGGCCATTTCACTCCCCAATTTACATTTTCTTCCACTTTGAGTTAATTACATTATTCATCCCTAAATTATGTTGAATATATTAAATTAGCATTAAATTATGAAATATTTTAAATAAATCATTGTGCTTAGGAATGGAGTGTATTTTCTTTTGTAAATAGTCGATGAAGGGTGGAGTAGAGCATACCTTTTTTAGAAGGTGGACATGAAGCTGTTTTGGTATTTATTTGTTCCATTCCTTTATTTAAAATTATCATTTTACCTTTATTTATATGTATAAAGATATAAAATAAAATCATATAAACTAAATTATAATTGTAGAAATTATTTTATTTTACATCAAATGATTTAATTTTAATATACAATTTAAATGAAATTGTAAAATAGTTTTGGAATATGTATTATTACTCTTTTTGTCACAACCTGAAATATATATACATATATATATAAGAGTAATTTGGTGAAATTTGAGGGTTAAATTAAAAGTTTCCAGAACTAGTGTGCATGGGCTTTGAAAATAAACCATAATTTGATATAATGATATGTGTGTTTCTCGTGAAATGGTACATGTGATATGCGATATGTATAAGTGATAAGTTAGGATTATATGATAATAATGGTAACAATTGTATATGGGTAATAGTGATATGAGATGTGATATGATCATAAGTAATTATTGTTGTGGTTGAAGTGATGTTATATGTTTATGTTCAATATATGCTCATATGATGTAATTGAATCAATGATAAGAAAATAAGTAAGGATAAACCGGCAAGTGATGGGTTAATAGGTATATAAGTATAATATGTGTTATATGGAATGTTCATGCATTTGGTAGTTTACTTTATGTATTTACATGTCTCACTAAGTCTATGACTTAGCGTGTAAGTGTTTTACACGTAGGTGTGAACAGTCAGAAGATCAAGTTTCGGATCCGCAGAGCATATCTCCGCACAAAGTTCAGATAAGAAATATTTTGTAAAGTATATATTGTCATATAATTTAGTATGTTGGCATGTAACCAAGTCATGATATATATGTACGCTCTGACGGAGTCTGTTAAGGTTTTAAATATGTTTATGTAAAAGAATTACTTTATAGAATAAAAGTTTTACATTTTCTATGTTTTTTTTATAAAAATATATACTTTGACTGGTCAATATGACACCTCGGACTCATATCCAAGTCGGGTACGGGTTGGGGGTGTTACATTTAATGTTATGAGAGCTAAGGTTTAGCCGATTCTAGGCTTAAACCGAAGTCAAGAGTATTTTGAAAAGGTGTACATGCCAACAAAAAGTGAAAGTTTCTGATCTGATAAAGTAATGAGTATGCTGTTTTCTAATAAAGTTATATGGTTATGTATTAGATGTCTGATCGTGAAAGTTCTCGAAGTGAAAGAAGAAGTAATAGACCTGAGGGTAGTAGCAATTCACCTGCCCTGGCCAGGCATGGTGAAGAGCGAACACCTCCAATAGTACCAGTGAGAGATCAAGGGATATTTTTCGGGACGTTAAATGTTGTTTTGTCACGTTTTCAACCCTCTGCGCCCTCAGCTCCTCGAATGAATATAGCTAAAGAATTGAAAGGTTTAGGAGCACCTGAGTTTAAGGGTCAAGCTAAGGAAGATCCGATTGCTGCGGATCTTTGGTTGAACGATGTTAACATTATGTTGGATGGGCTCCACTGTTCTGATGTAGAGAAATTAGATGGAATAGTTTCTTTGTTAAGGGGACAAGCTAGAATATGGTGGACCAATGTCACCATGAGATTAAGAAGTGATCAAGTGACCTGGTTATTCTTCTTGGACGAATTTAATCGTAAGTATATTGGTGACCAATATATTAGAAAGATGAAGCAAGGATTTCTGAATTTGAAGCAAGGAAATTATACAGTGTATGAATACGAATGTGAGTTTAATAAGTTAAGTCGTTTTGCTGCTGAGCTTATTCCGACTGAGAATGATGTATGTGACTGGTTTGTGGAGGGTTTGCGCCCTAGGCTAAGAGAGTTGCTGATAGCCTTGAATTTGTCATCGTTTCAAGAAGTGGTTAATCGAGCTAAAGCTCTAGAGAGAGCTCAGAATGAAAGATTTAAAGAACAGAGAGTTCAGAAGTCTAAAAGGATGGGTGCTTCGTCGAGCTCCTCTCCATCCAAGAAAAATAGGGAATGGGATTTTCCAACACATGATATGTTGAAATCGGATGTTTTTATTGATAGAAGATCAAATCTCAGTCAAGTCAGGCAATGTTCATATTGTGGAAAGAATCATACAGGGGTATGTAGAGTAATCTCTGGAGCTTGTTTTAGATGTGGGGATGTTGGACATTTTATTTGAGATTGTCTACTTATGACTGAAGAGACAGTACAGAGAGAAAGATCTATAGCGGTATCTCAAAGAAATAGAGGTCGTAGAAGAAATCGATCGGAGTCGTTCACTCAACATGATATGCAACCAACTGCACAAGTTTATAATTTAAGGACTGATGAAGATTTCAATGATCCAGAGAAGCTGGCAGTTAAATTTCGATATCGTGGTAAAATAGTTTGATGATTAATAGATTTGGGAATCATCATAGTATTTAGTAAGTGGTAATTAGAGAGATAATTGAAAGATTTGATTTGAATCAATAAGTAATTATTGTTAAGAGTTGTGGAGTATTATAACGGATTGCTTCATCTTGATGTAGAGTGAAAATTCGAGGATGAATTTCCCTTAAAGGAGAGGAGATTTGTAACATCCCAAAATTCAGGTTAGTGACTAAAATTAGAATTTTTGGAATTTGAGGATTAATTTAAGGAAATTGATAAGTTCAAGAATTTAAATAGGACTATTTCAATATTGGATTAAATCATAATTATGGAATAAGTAAAGGGCATTATGGTAATTAGTTTAAAAAGATATTTTCTTTCCCTTATTAAGAATGAAACACGTGGGATGTGAAGAGTGATCTAGAACTCTTCTTTTCCTTCTTTATTTCTTCTTCCCGTAGGTTCAAGTTCAAACCTCAAAGGTGAGTTTTAATTTTTATGATTAATTCTTGAATGTTTAAGTTGGGTTTTATTCCATGAGTGTTATATAAGCTTAAGGAAAGCTTATATAAGCTTAAAACACCAAAAGGAGAGAATTAGAAAGGAAATTTAATTAAGGGTTGAGAAATGAATTATTGATATAAAGAGGTTTTTGAAGTTTTAAAGATGGATTTGACTTGTCAATGGGTTAATTAAGAAGTTAAAGGTGATAGAATTGAATTTAGAACACATGGAAAATTTAATGAAATTCTTTGATTCAAGAATTATGGTGGATTATGGGAGATGGTAAAGTTTTATAGTGTTATAAGAAGGTTGATACATGTATAGATAAGTTTTAAGGCATAAGGAGGGGTTAATAAGTAGAATTTGAGGTCAAAGTAAGAATTTTTGGGCTCAAAATGTAATTTCTGGGTTGTGTGCATCGATGCATCTTCAATGTGCATCGATGCACTCTCAAATAAATTAACATCGAGTACAGTTAGTGCATCGATGCATGAGGAGTGCATCGATGCATCCCCTTAAAATGGAAACATCGAATGTAAATTGTGTATCGATGCATGGTAGTGCATCGATGCACATGTTAAAGAATGCATCGATGCACTGAAGAATGCACCGATGCACTTCAATGGGAAATGAAATAAATCGTTATTCAGTCTATGAAATGATAGATTAAAGTATATTAATTGGATACGGATAGTATCAATACATGATTATGTAAACATCGATCGAAAGTAAAGTTCGTATAGGTCGATAGAGTAAGATACGCAACAGAAACAAGAGTTTAAGAGGTATCATTGAGATCAGGTGAGTACATGATAGTAAGTGTACGTTATGTTAAGGAATTAAGACTTGCGATGAGTCTAATTCTGATATTATATTATATAAGTATTAAAGCATAAACATGTAGTGATATGGTGTTAGATGTATGATATATGAGTAAATGCATATGTTTGATTGTTGAATGCATTTTTATTTGTGAACTATGTAAATGCTTGTATTATGATAATAAGTCATGTGATCATGAAATATATGATAAAACATATATATATAAATAATATGACCCATATATGCTTCTATTAGAATGTTATATGGTAGGCTAGTATAATAAAATAGATTAGATATTGATAATAAGACATAAGATTATATACATATGTAATATATGTTAAAAGATAAGAAATAATATGTTATATGCATATGAGAAAAAAGT